GGGGTAGGAACCGTAGTTTTTACAAACGGGGCACCGTAGGTACCCAAACGAATTGGTGTAAGCAAATGACACCAGTAGCACTGGTGTCAGTTTAGACTTACAGTGTGTGTGTGTGTGTGTGTATCATAAATTCAAATCATTTTTCATAGAAATTAGCAAAGGTTTCAAACTAAAAATTAATAATTAACCCTAAATTTTAAATCCAAAGCACGAAACAACGAAAGAAAGAAAATTAGAAAAAATTACTACATTGGAAAGACAGTGAATACGGAACACCTGGAGGGTGCAGCGGCGGCGTCTCTCTACCGGCGGCGTCCTCAGCAGTCGGCACTCTCTTTCCGATTCGGTTTCGGCAGTAGGCTTCGTCTCCGGCTTCTGCGAAGTTGTCTACGAAGTAGGAAAGGATGGGGACGGCTAATGAGATGGGCTTTTCACATATTGGGCTGGGTGCTGGGCTTGTTATATACATACATATTGGGCTGGGTGCTGGGCCGGCCCTGCCTGAGAGGACTTCTGTGAAGTATTCTGAAGGAGGCGGGAACAGTATGGGGATGGGAGCTTCACAGAGGATCACACTTGGGGCTCCAGTTCAGTCCAAACACGTTAACCAGCCCATTACTGTTCAAATACCATTATTTATATTTACGGATTTTTTTTTTTTGAAAGAGCACAAGTTTTCTTAAATTGAAGAAAGAAAAAATTCACAATTTTCAAACATCGGGCCCGTTTCGTCGGGGAAAAAATATTTTCCTAAAAAACTTTTTTTACCGGAAATAGTTTTTATAAAAATAATTTTCATATAACATTTTTTATTGTTTGGTCGGAAGAAATTCTTTTCCCAAAAACCCATTTTCAAATATAATATTTGAAATTTGATATTTAAAAATTGTTATGAGACCATTTTAAACTATTTTAACAGCATGAGAGAAGGGTGAGTAATGCAAGATGGCGGGGTGTAAAGTGCGGGTGGCAAATGGGAAAGATGGGTTGATGGGGCAGGGGTGAGGTCGGTGGTGGGCGGGGATGGAAATGATGGCAGTGGACAGGGGTAGGTTGGGGTCGGAGTAAGGGGGAGTGGGGTAGGGCAGGCTCGAGGTGGGGTGGGGAGGGGGCGAGGGCAGGCCCGCCCAATCAATATCAATGGCTCTGTGCATTTTTATATATTTAGGCTCTAAAGTTAAAAATTACGAAGTGTATTGCGAACGTTGTACAAAAATGCAGAAGTATATTTTATATTCTTGTTTCATTATAAAATTATAACTTGAATTTACGGACTTAAAAAGTCCAATTTCCATCAAAAGTATTAAGTAGCTCAATTATTATTGATAAATATTTATATTAAAATTGTTAGCTAATAGACATTAAGGAAGAAAGAATCAATAAAATAAACTAGTTTAAATGGAATAATTACAAAAAATAGCAAATACATGTATAAGGAAAAAGTATGTTAACTTATAGAAAATAAAAGTGAGGACAACTTGGTTAGAAGGTTAATTTCAAATATCATTATCATTTATTTTAAGATTAATCAATTAACATAAAAGAAAAAATGTCTTCCTCTAAAAAAACATAATCCATCCTTTTTATAGAATTTTTCCAACACTTATAAATACCAAGATTAAAATTTTATGTGGTTGAGAAAATAAAAACAAAATATTGCAATAAGAAAACTTAAAATATTTTGTGAGAGTGAAAATAAAAACAATTAACTATTCTAATACTCCTTTCATCCTAACTTAATTTGTCCATTCCTATTTACTTTAGAATATACTTGATCAAAATTATTTTCACATCAATTTATTTGAAAATAATAATAAATTAAAAAATAAAAGTTATTTACTTAAAAATTATATAAAAAATTTTACGAATCAAAATATGATATGACTATATTATTTTACTAAATTAATAATAAAAATAAAAAATGAAATTTAATAATGTAAATAATAAATATGTAATTTAAATTAAGAAGGATAGAGTATAATGGAAGAAAAATAAAAAATGGGCCCCTTGTAATTGGAGGCCCTGTGCAACTGCACCTCTTGAACACCCTCATGGGCGGGCCTGGGCGAGGGCATGGGGTGGGTGGATAAAACTTAAAAGGCAACATATTCTTATGCACAAAATATTTTCTTATTATTTATGTTATAAACATTGAAAATTAGAATTGGAAATTTTCAAGAAAATACTTTTGCCAAGACTACGCCCTTATGTTTTTTCTTTTCTTTAATTAGTGAATTTATTAGTCACAATGCTTTTTTCCCAAACAAATTCAATCGATCATTATTAAATTCTTAAAACCATCCCCTTTCATAGGCAAATTCTATGGTCGACCTAAGATCTACCATTGACCTAGGTCTACCATTGACTTACATAAGAGAAAAATAATTATTTCTTTACTAATTAAATAACTAATTCATAGGCAAATTCTATGGGCGATGATTACTCCCAATTCTGGCGACCTCAAGCTTTCTATGTAGCGCCAATGAACTCTCCACTCAACAAAGAACAAAATGAGACAAATTTTAGAAAGATTGGTGAAGAAATGAGGAGAAGAGGCTACTCGTTATATAGGGAGAAGATGTCAAGGCTGTCAATCCTTCTTTGGTGATTATACGATCAACTACTGCGCTGGGAGGCGCCGTCTGCACAGTTTTCTTGATTGGGACTAATTTAGTCCCAATCGGGGTACACTTTTTTGTCTAACTTTCTTCGAATTGAATCCGTTTGCACCGTTGCGATCGGGCAATTAAACTCTATCCAACAATATAATTTTATAATTATTTGTAATACTTTTTTTGACATCATATTTTTGGTGTTTGAGTTTGACAGAGTCACAATTAATTTAATTGATCTTCATTCAAAAAGGTTCTTTCATTTAATTCATCTTACTTATTTTCATGATTTATTTCAATAAATCATTTCAAAGTTCACATGAGATTTATCTAGATTGTGATATTGAGTATCAAAACACATTTTATTTCGGTCTAAAGCCTAACAATAATTTATTTTAATCAAAACAAATTTGAAATGGTTTTTACTGGCAGCTGCTCCCAGTAATAAAAAATTAAATGGTTTTTTTTCAGTTTTATGTATACCTGCCCCCCGTAAAAAAAAGATTACCCTTAGTGACCACTAAGCAGCTGATACACATAGTTAATTAGAATATTTTAATTAGTTACATTACTCCATACTCCCTCCGTCCGGATTTTAAGTTCCCAGTCTACGCTTTTTTTTGTCCGGAAATAAAGTTCCCATTCTACGTTTTCATACCCAATCTTCCCAAAATACCCTTTAATTCTTTTCATTTCTCATCCTTTCCCGTGTTTTTTTTCTGTGTCGGCCAATTTCTTCTCTGCCACCACAGGTGAATTCTTTCTCTCTCTCTCTCTCTCTCTCTCTCTCTCTCTCTCTCTCTCTCTCTCTCTCTCTCTTTCTCTCTCTCTCTCTCTCTCTCTCTCTCTCTTCCCCTCCCCTTTTTCTTATCGTTATCTTCCTCCCCTTCTCCTTCCTCCTCCTCCTTATTCTTATTATTATTCTTCTTCTTCTTTCCTTTCTTTTCTCGGCTAGATCTAGCCTTTATCTCCCCCATCTCTTCCGCCTTCTTTTTTTTGTCATTTTCTTCTTCTACCAGAGTTTGGGTCTCTTTTTTTCAGATCTACAAAATCTGAAGATCCATTAGTGCGACAAGAAATTCGCCTTGGACCTGGTTTGTGCAGTAGAGAAAGGGAGAGATTGCTCGGATTGTGCAGTAGATCCGTCGCACTGGCCACTAGGGTCTGTTTGGTGCGGCGATGTGTTTTGACAGTTCCGTGCTTGGAGTTTGGTTGGTGCGGCAAGCAATCAGTTGCTGTGAAGGATTGGGCTTTAGGGGCATTTTGGACAAATTGTAGACAAAGTCAACTTCCACTAAAAATGGAGAATAGTCAAACTGGGAACTTAAAATCTGGACGGAGGGAGTATTATTTAGTAGTTATTTATTATTATTTGTTGATGATTTAGGGTTTAGTAGGGGCCCAAGCCCATTAGGTCAATTTGAGTTACCGTATTACTCTCTATATATTGTAATGCTTTCCCGTTGTTATTCAATCAATAAAGAAATATCAAAACCCTAATCTCCTTCTCTATTCTCTTAAAGCACGGAAATGCTCGAAGTTTTCTATCTTTCTCTGTTCTATGCTTGTAGAACTTGATTCGTAACTACTAAATAATAATATAACTAATTAAAATATTCTAATTAACTATCTGTATCACCAGCCCATTAAATCAAGTATTTGTAAGATTCTAGTGATATTAAATATATTTCGTATAACGTAATTTATTTAGTATTATAATTTTACTATTTTTAAAATATTTTGATTTCCTTATTTTAAATTTGTCTGATATAAATTAATTTTTTTATCATGGTATAAAAGAGGCACAAGATTTTTGTTCAATGGATGCATAAGAATATTCGCACAACTCCTAAAATTACAACAATTTTTTGTCACTGTGAGAAGACAAAGCACAAGTGGATAGCTATCAATTATGGTAACTATTAGTATATTGTTAGTCACACTTCTCGTTATGATCCAGGTACTACGTATGATTATATGGTGGATTTGGCTAATGAGATTTGTACGTGTGGACAATGAATTGTAGATGCAATCTCTAGTATGCATGTTCATGGTGTCTATTATTCTTTTCAAAAACTTGGAAATGATTTTGTTCCAAAAAAATACTTTGTTCAGAGATATTTAAATTGTTATAGTGCTATTTGTTAAATATAGTGCTTCTATATTTAAATATATTATGTATATATTATTGTATTATGAGTATCCTAGTTACCATACATGTTTAGGTTACCTTAATTGTGTTTCCTAACATAACTAGGATTCTCCTAGTATATATTCCCTTGTAATATCACATTGTGGATTAATTGGAAATAACAAATCTTTCATGGTATCGGAGCCTTAATTCTCGGCTTCCCGTTCCTCACCTTCGGCTCTCTCTCTCTCTCTCTCTCTCTCTCTCTCACCTCCGGCCCTCTTCTGGTGACAACCATGGCCGACTCTTCTGTCTCCTCCAGCAAGGGAAACTCCTCCTCCAACAACTCTCCCAACTCTCCTCCCCTAGCCTTCACAACCATATCTAATATCAAACTACACATTCCCGTGCAACTTAGCCTGTTGGTCTTATGGGGGACCATCGATCACCCTTAGGGATTTACTACTGTGCTAATCACGGTATCGGGTACTGACAGCCCAACTTGACGAGGTACACGAGTCGTGTATCTTGCGAAACCCCTCCTGTCCATCCACCGCTCAGTAGTGGGGCTCCGCACTGCCGTAGTGAACTATAGGGGATGCCCTATAGGAATCTACCTCGGCTTGGGGCTACAGAGAGATTTGGTTAAATACAAAGTGTCCACCTTCCTATCACCAATTGGTTTTAGGAAGCATTTGGCACCTCTTTAACTTCAGAACTCTGCAGTTAAGCGTGCTAGAACGGGAGTAGTCCAAGGATGGGTGACCCACTGGGAAGTTCCAAAAAAACGATCCTACATAGCCAACCTCCGAGCTGAATTATAAAAAGTGGAGTAGATTATTCCGTCTTTTGGTTCTCCGATTTAATCTCATGGGCTTCCTCGACGGCACCACCGTAGCCTCTTCTGCAACCGACTCCGAATGGTATCAATTCGATGCTTTACTCCAAGGATGGATCTTATCAACAATCACGGACGAGGTCTCCGATCTCGTTCTTGCCAACAACCTCTCTGCTCATGTGTTATGGACGGCGATCTATAACATCTTCCACGACAACAAGCATGCACGAGCAATGCAATTGGAACACCGCTTCTGCACAACCGTGAAAGGAAACCGCTTGATCGATGAATATTGCCGTCTCCTCAAAAACCTTTCTGAGTATCTTGACGATGTGGACGCCCCGGTGACCGAGCACGCCCTCGTCCTATGGATTCTACACGGCTTGCGACATCCGAGGTCAAGTATATTTTTTGCAATACCAGAATCCCTTTCCCACCTTCCTGGAGGTCCGATCCGCCTTACTCCTCGTCGAACAACAGCAGAACGACGCCCTCCATGGCTCCGCGCCGCCATCCACTGCACTCCTTAGCACTGCCGGCACTAGAGGCGGCTCACAGCGGCAGGACCAACACAACCCAGGCAGGGGCGGACACATCGGACAGAGCAGGGGCTCAGGGCAGGGGACGCGGTCGAGGTCGTGGGGGCGGCGGAACCCAGCGGCAACCCATGAGTCAAAGATCCTGGAAACTCTCTTCCCCCACACCCGGAATACTTGGGTCACGCCCATACCAACCCTACCCCCCAGCCCAAGCCTATGCCACTTCTTCCCCAAGCCCAAATACCCACTACCCAATTCCCCACTTCCCCACTGTCACTTATTTCCCAAGCCTAACCACAAACTACCCAATTCCCCAATCATACAGCCCATCCCCCCAATTTCGTACCCCACCCAGGGGCGGACCCAGGATTTTTTACCACGGGGTCGATCATATATTTAAAAATGTGAGATTGTATATCATTTGTTGGGTCGTAAGTAAAATAAGGTTCATATTTAAAAATATTCATAAAAATAACTTTATGGTATTAACATTTAATATAATTTTTTTAAATTGACGTTCAAAATTTACTAGTATAAAATTTTAAATGAGATGGATGAATCATTAAAAATTGAATGATGTATAATAAGAATTTATTTTAAGAAAATAGGAATAATATCAACTACATATTTTTTCTATAAATAAGTAAAGTGTAAAGTTTATAAGTTTTTTTTGATATAGAAGAGAATAAACAAATAAAAGATAGTTATGTTGATTAATTGGTACACAATTTTTGAAGTACTTAAGAAAATTGAAACACTCCATAAACATAAACTTTACTATAGATTTTTAAATGAAACGGATAAAGCATTAAAAAGTTAAAGTTATATTTATAAGAAAATAAAGATAATTAATCTCACTCATATATTTTTTCTAAAAATGAGTAAATGAGTAGAGTGTCGTAACATACAATGGCAAGTCATTGTTTTTGTCTATGTTTGTACTTTTTAATGATTTTTAATTATCAAAAATTATTTTACACATTTATTTTAGTATTAAAATATGTCTACTTCTTTAAAAAATATTTTTTCCAAATATTAAAAATATTAAAAAAAATAAAAAATGAGGGAGTCATTCCTTGCACATGGAATGAAAAGTGGGTGAAATGACCATGAAATGCCATGATTTGAGTGGCATTTGCTGACATGGCTAGGCAAGGCAAGGCATTGCCTTGCTATTGTGAATGCTCTAAATAACCCGAGTAATTTATATCCTATTGTCACGCTTCTAACATTAAGTAAACAGTACTCCATAATATATAACATTAAAGTTTACGTATATTACAAAAATTATAAATTTGGTTCCTTTTTAAAATATTGGTGCCTTTTAAATACACCTTTGCATCCTATATTGAAATTTAAATAATTAAAAACATTATAAACTTAAAAAATAATCTAACTGTTTTAACATATTTACAAATCACAATCTTACAAAATAAAATAGCAAATTCAATTCGCTATTCACAATAACAAATTCATAAGAATAAATTATAATATTCACAATTCACAAATATAAAAAGAAATATTTAGTTTAGATTAAATTATGTAAAAAAAACATAGAAAATTAAAGGGGCAAAAATGAAGATTGGGTTTGAGTTTGGGAAAAAATCGCCTACACCATGGATTGAACCTAGGCCGTCCAGGCAGGACATCAACATTGCTCAAACGCGGAGCTTCCCACTCCTTCAACATGTCCCAGTGGTTTCATTTAGCATTTTGTTGAATATATACAAACTATACAAATACACCTAAAAATTTATATATATAGGTAAAAAAATTTTAAATTTCCGTGGGGTCGCTTGACCCCGTATGACTCAATGTGGGTCCGCCCCTGACCCCACCCCACAGGCCCAAAACCAGCCCCAATTCACCCACCCCCTCCCTCACTGCCCTGGCCCATAGTCTAGAGCACCTCACTCTCACCACATCACCGCTGACCCAAGTACTTTATCTCATGTATTTTCTTCAAACATTTATTCACCCTCTCATATTATTGTAGGTAATGGATCTAAAGTGTGCACTACGGCCTTTGGTAACGGTCTCCTTAACACAAACCCTCCCCTCTCCTTGAAAAATGTCCTTGTCTCCCCACATATTATCCATAACCTTATTTCTGTCCGTCAATTTACTCGTGATAACAACTGTTTCGTTGAGTTTGACTCATCCGGTTTTTCTGTGAAGGTTAGAACAAACGGACGGGAGCCGTGATTCATCGATCTAGTAGTGACGAACACCTCTACCCGCTATCTCAAGACCATCCCCCAGCGCACCTTCACCTAGCCAAAGTCGACTCGTCCACATTGCACCGCCGACTTGGACATCCAAGCCCCGCAGTTCTCCATGGCGTCTCCTCTTATCTTGATAGTTTTAATAAATCTCAATTAAACTCTTTATGTCATGCATGTCAGTTAGGCAAACATGTTCACCTTCCTTTTCAGTCCTCGAGTCGTGTATCTCTTTTTCCATTTCAATTAATGCATACAGACTTATGGCAATCGCATGTTCCTAGTGTTACTGGATTTAAATTCTACATGCTTTTACTAGATGATTTTTCGCATTATCTATGGATTTTTCCTCTACGTCACAAATCTGACGCTTATTCTCATCTAATAAAATTCCATGCGATGGCTAAGCATCAATTTCAAACCACCATTAAAGCTGTACAATGTGACAATGGAACAGAATATAGAAATAACCCCTTAGCCACTTTCTTTGAGTCCTTGGGTATTTTCTTCCATTTTTCTTGCCCTTATACTAGCCAACAAAATGACGCACCTTAAATAACACCGTCCGTACCCTACTATTTCAAGCAAATCTACCACCTCCATTTTGGGTTGAAGCCCTTCACATGGCCACTCATCTATTTAATCTTTTACCCACCATTACCCTCCACAACCGTACACCCCATGAAGCCTTATATCACACCCCACCATCCCACAAACACCTCCGTGTCTTTGTTTGCCTTTGTTACCCAAATCTCTCCGCCACAGCACCCCACAAACTAGCCCCACGTTCTGCGCGCTGCATTTTTCTTGTCTACCCCGAGTCTCAACGTGGCTATCGGTGCTTGGACCTTGACACACAGAAACTCATTGTATCCCGACATATTACCTTTGATGAGTCCACTTTCCCATATGCACCCCCACACTCCCCCTC